CCGTGTGAACGTCGGGTCACGTGTGTGGTACGTGTAGACGATATGTTTGGCATTGGCAGCCACTGCGTCCGAGCCCACATCGGGTCGTCTTGGCACCGTCCTGCCATTAGAGCCCAGCGAATGAGGGTGGAGAAAGTGCAATAGTTGCCGCATAAGTCTGTTCTGCGTCCGCCATGTTGCGATGCAAACAGTGCGCATCGTCCGCGATGGTCGAACCGTCGGGAGATGTTGTTTTGCCAATGGAAACGAAGAGACTAGTCCCAGGAAGCAGTCTTTAAGAAGGTGATACGATCGTTGGGACAAGAGCCTTATTAGCCTGACGTTTCGGATTCCTGCACGAACCCATAATCAGAGACAAATCAGATACGGGTGGTTCATCCATAAGTGGCTGCAGTATTTATAGGATGCAGTAGACATGCTACCGCATACCTATGAATATTCACGGCCCCCCCGCCCCCTTAATCAGAGATCGTTGCACTTGGTGTGCTGACTGTTTGCTGGCCGACATTCGCGTCGTTAATTGATGCAATTTCATCACGTGTGTTGGATGTTGGTGTGATGATTTCTCGACCATCTGACGCGCTGACCCTGGTGTTGGGGAAAGTGTTCACCTTCTTCAAGATGTTGTTTTGTTCCTTTTTAATTTCCTCAGAGATTAACTGCTAACTTGGAGTAAGTCAGTTTGAACTAAGGTTTAAAGGCATAGACCGAAATTTGGCGTATGAATGCTCGGGCCGATGTCCATCAACCACAGCGGGATAACCGCGTCATATTCATTACCTACCAAAAAGCAGCAAGTAGTATATATTGAGGTCACAGGATGCCAAGCTAGCAGCACAGGTACTAAATAAAGGCCCAAACACGTGCTTTGATGATAGTCTGCTGCTGGATAGCGTAGCTTCGAGAGGTTCGACTCATAAGAATATCGGTGAGATACAGTGCGTGACCGATCTCATGAAATGTTGGCCAAAATTCTGGAATGCGTTTCCGATTAGGAGGGATTACTTAAGTGGGGTTGTTATTATTGATTATCATGAAGCATAACCCTATAACATTTTGGACTTGCCAGGATGTCGGCTATTGAATGCACTTCTTTTTGACCTACTGCGGAAACCACAATCGGTAAAAAATGACTACTTATGCAGCATGCATTTTTCCTATTGATTTTCGATGGTGTTATGAATTTAAATACATTTTACAGAAAAAATGTACAAAAATATGCCTTATTTTGCTCATTTGGTAGGAAATCACATTGTCTTCATATTGTATGCCCGAAGAAAGTGCATGTTTAGGTTTTAAAAAAGTTTCCCACTTCCCGAATAATTTTCAGCCTGATCTGACGTTGCATCAGCGTTTAGCAATTTCAGTCTACAAGGAGCATGCATTCCGCGTAAGGAAAACCATATATTCGTCTATGCCTTTAAGAAGGTACCACACAGAGCTCATGAAATGTTGTAATGGATCCGGATCGTGTTGTACATTTCATGAGGAGCATTAATTAACGGACATGTGCGGTCTTGCATGCATGGACATCGCACGGTTTTAAAAATCTCATAAATAGAAACTTTTGTAAAACCTAAACATGCACTTTCTTCGGAGATTAAATACGAAGACAATGTGATTTCCCACCAAATGAGCAAAAGAAAGCATATTTTGTGTATGTTTTCTGTAAAATGTATTTGAATTTATAAAACCATCGAAAATCAATAGGAAAAATGCATGCTGCATAAGTAGTCGTTTTTTTTACCGAGTGTGGTTTCTGCAGTAGGTCAAAAAGAAGTGCATTCAATAGCCGACATCCTGGTGAGTCCGAAATGCTTTGGGGTATGCTGCATGGTAATCAGCATAAAAACCCGACTTAAGTAATCCTTCTTAATCGGAAACGCATTCCAGAATTTTGGCCAACGTTTCATGAGATCGGTCACGCAATATACGTGTCTGGGCTTTGGGCTAGTGCTTGTGCTGTTAGCATGGTATTCTGCAACCCCAGATGCTGTTTTCCTGAGGAACTTCTTGGATGCGGTTGCCGAATGGACAACGGAGATGAGAGTGACGGGCCTGGTATGAAATAGTCGAAAGTGATGCCTGATGTGAAGGTGCGATCGCACCAAGCAACATTAAACCGATTCAATCAATAGTCGAGCTACTGGCTCAAGCGGACAAATGTAACATTCTGTGAGTTGACAGATCCAGGTCTTAAAACTGCAGGATTTACCAGGTTACTGACCTATCATTACAAACAGCGAACACTCAGTAGGGTTCGGGCCGATGGATCACAATATCACTTAAACCCTCGTTTCATTGATCAAAGGCAGTCAAGTCCGCAATGTCAGCCCTGTAATTGGCCAAGAGAGATATCACAGCGTCTGATGAAGGCTGTTTCACTGGCCTTTGAAACGCTTGTACGGTCGCAACTGGATTTCGCCATTTAAGCCTGGAGACGCTGGAACACGGTTGGTAAATGTTCATCTTTTTCCATCAATTTATAGAGAACTACGAGGTGACTGGGTATAAATGGTCCGCATAGTGTGTAGTCAGGACTTCTGCCTTGTATTCGGTCACTCCTTTGATTTGACAAACACCAACGAAGGGGATAGAATATCCGCTCAAATTACGTGCGAATGGGGCGGAGCCGGACATGCCAACGTTCTTCTCCAACGGAGTGGTTTAAGCACCCTAGTAGCAAACTATATCGAGCAGATATCTATTCGATGTCTATTTGTCGAGATTCATATATCGACTGGATATCTATTTTGTCGCAAAAATAGATATCTATTAGAAATCGACTAATCGAGATACTACGCCGATGGCGAAAGTGGGGCTTAATACGGTGCGCTTGAAATCGTTTGCTTAAACCAAGACTCCTTTCTACCCCCATTCCTTCCTTTTCGTGTGTTTAATCCCCCCCCCCCCCCCTATTACCCACAGGTACTTTGGAGGCGGTTATTGTGGAATTATTATATTTAAAATTAAAATAACTAGATATGTACAGTGCTTTGCTGAATCCCTTCCGTGATCGCTGTGTCGACGGAGGCCGGCAATCAGTAGAAGCGCCTGCGATGTTGTCTACAAGTTGGAACTAGTTCTTGATAAACGGCAATCAATTTACAACTGTGTTCTCTGTTAACTTGCGTCTTTCGTTTCCTTTGGACCCGGCTGTCCAGCGACCTTTTCAGGCGCTTGGTAAACGCAGACTCAAGGTCTGATATCCATACGCTGCTGCTTGTGTTCCATGCGATGAAGACCTCTGAATATCATAGGGTTGTGCAAGTAATGACAGCCATACCAACTACAGCCTCATATTGTTTGGAGCCGCTGAGGCTTTCTTTTGCTTTTCTTCCCCTGAAATCAACATATGCATGGAATGCTACGCCTGTGAATGTTGTTATACATACCTTTATAGACCCTTTGAAGAGGAAACTGAGTCAAGTATAGCATCGCACACTGTAAAACCCTCAGAGCATAAATAATTTGGACCCCGTTCCCGGTCGACATGGTCTTGTCGCCGTGTGCTAACCGTTAATTTCCGTTTAACACGCTATTCTACGCGCCACTGTAGCGTCTATTTGCGAAGCTTATTTCCCGTCTCCACCCTACTGCACAAAACCACTGACATACAATGACACTTGATGACGACTGAAATCGTACTACCTTTTCAGTAGCGTACGTATACTCGACTCAAGCCTGTAGGCCTTTGTACACTTTTGATTTGTTCCACCACATTGCTTGTACACCTGACCTGCCTGTACATTTGTTTGACTAAACTGAGAATACACTTTTTTGAACAACGCTACGGCGGTCAACATGTGTTCTGGTCTCGAGTGTGTTTAACGTCGTTATTTCTTGGCGTGCGCTTGTCACCTCTCAATTCTCTTAGCAACTCGTTCGTGCTGCCGGAGACTTCCTCCTCGAAGCTAACTTCAACGGACCATCGCGGAACCTAGAGCCTCCCTTCAACCATTCCTTCATCGGGACACTATCTCCCTACTTGATAGGATTCTACCTTACGTGAGTCTGAAACATTCCTTATCTGGTTCTTTCAATCTGTACATTTCTTTTTGTTCGTAAACACAATTCCCCCATTCGGAGTTAGTTTTCTTTGCAGATATTATTGTTTGTAGTTTCTAAGTCCACATTTACACTACAAAACTGGTGACCCCGCTTTTTCCTGCATTCCGGACCTTTTTTTTTATTTACCATGGCCAGTGACGACTCCCAAAAAGACTCACTCGACATTAACACCCTTTCTTTTAAACTGCC